TCATAAACAACAAATAACAAATGAAAACTTTCAGCAAAGTTGCAAGATACAAAGTCAACATGTAAAAATCAGTGGTGCTCCTATAGACTCACAATGAACAATCTGAAAAGGAAATTAAGAAAACAATTCTATTTTTAATAGCATCCAAAAGAATGAAATACTTAGGAATAACCTTTAATCAGAGAGATGAAAGACTTATACAATAAAAACTGCAAATGTTGCTGAGACAAATTAAAACGATAAACAAATGGAAAGACATCTCCTGTTTACAGACTGGAAGCCTTACTATTAAGATGTCAATACTACTCAAAGCGATCTACAAATTCAATGCTATTGCTATCAAAATCCCAATGTTTCCTTACAGAAATAGAAAAATGTACCCTAAAAATTATATGGAGTCTCAAAGGACACTGAATGACCAAAACAGTTTTCAAAAAGAACAAAGTTGAAGGTCACATACTTTATGATTTCAAAACTTAGTAAAAAGCTATAGTAATCAAAATTGCGGTGCTGGCATACAGACAGACATAAAGATCAATGGAACAGAATAGAGCCCAGAAATAAACTCTTATATACATGATCAAATGGTTTGACAAGGGTGCCAGAACCATTCAATAGGGAAAGAAGTCTTGTTTTTAATTTAAACTTTATTTTAATAATTGACTCTACTGCAGATGTCCCCATTACTCTTGGCCACCTCCGCCTAGCCCCTGCCTGCCATTCCCTCTGGCTATCATTGCACTGTTGTCTGTGTCTATGTGTTACATATAAATGTATGGGCTAATTCCTTTACCTTCTTTCATCTAGTTCCCTCTTCCCCCTCCTCTCTGACAGCTGTCAGTCTGTTCCATGTGTTTATGACTGTTTCTATTTTGCTCGTCAGTTTATTTTGTTCAACAGCTCCATATATAAGTGAAATCATATGGTATTTGTCTTTCTCTCACTGGCTTATTTCACTTTGCATAATAATCTCCAGATACATTCATATTTTTGCAAAAGGTAAGATATAAAAGGTGGTCTTTTGAATAAATGGTGTTGGGATACTGGAAATCCACATGCTAAAGAATGAAGTTGAACTCTGACTTTACACCACATAGAAGTTTTAACTCAAAATGGATCAAAGACCTAAATGTAACAGCTAAAACTATAAAACTCTTAGATGAAAACACAAGGCAATATCTTACTGACATAAGATTTCGCAACGATTTCCTGGATATAATACCAAAGGTATAAGCAAATAACAAAAAGAGGTAAATCGGACTATACCAAAATTAGAATCATCTGTGCATCAAAAGACATGATTAATATAGTGAAAAAGCAATCCAGAGAATGGGAGAAATTTGACGTAGACACCAGCCTACAGTGTCCACGGTGTTATGAATGAGACGAGATGAGACAAATTCACACGGACTGCTGAGTCTTGTGGAGGAAAAGGGACAGCACAGCCACTCTCCAAGAGAGTGCACAAACCCTTGCCTTGCAAGTTAATTTGCATAGGAGTACAGGGTGTATATAGAAAGCTCATCAATCATTGTGAGGCAGTAATAATCAAATAGATAACATTCAAAGAACTATGAAGGCTCATTTTGAGTCAGGGTCAAAGAGCTAAAGGGCCATAAAACTTTGGGGAAACAAACTCACTTTATACTTGGACACTTATCATTTAAAGGAGGGTATTGCAAAGCAGGTTTCACAGAATTTTATGCATTCTTTCTTAGGCCTGGTCGCCCCAGGGAACCTGCCCTTTCCAGCACAGGGCTGCACCCACCTCCAGCATTGTTTCAGGCTTAAGTCAGGCAGGAGATATAAGGCAGCCAAGAGATTAGGAGTCTTCCTGCAGACAGAATGAGGACTCGTGCTATGTCACAAAGGGTGAGAGTCCATCACCCCCTTTCTCCATAGCCCTCCAAGTCCTTTCCTGGGCCCCCTCAAGACCATGCCTGTCTTAGGCCATTCCTCCCTTGAGGAATCTTACCCATCACTGGCTAACTGGTCACCCAATGGGGGCGGGCAGGCAGGGTGAAGTAAAGTGGGCAGAGGCGGTGCTCCTGCCAGGGAGATAAGCTTTGTTTCCTTAGTGGCTTAGGGTCTCATGGTCCCTCACTCAGCCTTAGCAATGGGGGGGGAAGGGGGAGGTGTTACAGTTTCTGAAACCAGGCAGGGCAGTTCCCAACAGAAAATATTTCCAAATCATCTATCTAGTAAGAGACTAATATCAAGAACATACAAAGAACTCCTATAACTCAAAAACAAGAACAACAAAATACCCAATCTGATGAAAAAATAGGCAAAGGTCTTGAACAGACATCTCTCCAAAAATATACAAACGGCTAGTAAGTACAGGAAAAGACACTCAACTCACTAATCATGAAGGAAGTGCAAATCAAAACCACAGTGGGACACCACATCACATCCATTAGGAAGGCTACTGCCATCAAGGAAGGAAGGAGGGAAGGAAAGAAGAAAGGGAGGGAGGGGAGGAAGAAGGGAGGAAGGAAAGGGAGGAAGGAAATGAGGGGGGGAGAGAAGGGGAGAGGAGGAAAACAAAGAAAACCAGGAAACAACAAATGATGGAAAGAATGTACAGAAATTGAAACCCTTGTGCATTGTTAGTGGGAATGTAAACTAGTATAGCCATTATAGAAAACAGCAAGGAAGTTCCTTAAAAAGGAAAAAACAGACTATGATTCAGCAGTTCCACTTCTGGGTATATACCCCAAATAATGGGAAGCAAAGTGTTAAAAAGATATTTGTATACCCACATTCATAGCAACATTATTTACAATAGCCAAAAGATAAAAGCAACCCAAATATCCATCAGTGGATAATTGGAAAAGCAAAATACTAAAGATACATATTTTACATCACTAAACTGTAGACTTAAAAATGGTTAAGATGTTATGTATATTTTATGACATTTTTTTAAAGTGAGTATCCCTACTCCCTCCCACCAAAAGATGGAAAGTAAGAATTTTCTAAGATTTCCTAATCATTTAAATTTTCTCATGTTATTATTTTGGTCATTCTCTTTGTTTCCTCCAAGAAATCAGGAATTTTTAAAAAATCCACAAATGGGATAATAAGTAATCAGTATCTGAAACGTCTGTTACAACTTTTTTGTAGTAACCCATTGTTTCTCACTGGGGTGGTCCACAGCAGGAGTTGATAGCACATAATGTTACTGCTTCAGATGACAGCAACAGCTAATATATATTGTCACTATGTGCCAGAAAACTCTTCCAAATGCTTTATATGTATTAAGCTATTTCATGTAATATAAGATAGCTATTATTAGTATCTCTATTTTATAGATAAGGAATCTGAGGCACTCTAAAGCTAAACAACTTGTACAAGGTCACTGCCTCTATTCAATTGGCAGATATGGCTTCCCAATACTGGTAGTCTAGATCAAAAATTCACGGATTGAACCACTCCATCACATGGGCTCTTTCTCGGCACAGCACTGCTCCCATCCACTTGCAATCAATAAAAGTAGCCACTGAAGATGAACATTTTAGGCTTAATCCTAAAGACAAAGCATGATGACAAGGCATAATGACAACTCTGCCTTCAGTACATAGTGGTTAATTAAACTTAATTCAATTATAAAGCCTGGTCTATCACTAAACCATCTCCCCAACCCCAACATATCCATCTGGCTCTTCCTTTATACTCTCAGATAAAATGGTATACTATTAAATTGCTTAAAACTAGGACTGTATATTATTTATTTTTATTTACAACATCTGCCACACAGTAAGTGGTCCCCCAAATATTTCTTGAACAAGTACCTCCAAGTACACTGGAGCATGTAAGAATACATGTTGGGTTCATATTTCCGAATCCATTAATTAATGAGTCCATTACTGTAAGGTTTTGCCAAAAATTAAATGTACCATAAGATAAATGTACCACAGGGAAGTTCCAACCCAGACCTACACTCTATACTTTACATTCCGGTGGATCATGTTTTAATGGCGTTTTGGTATAATGTTAAAACTATAAAGTACTATAGAATTAAACCTATGGTTTCAAGAAACAGATATAATATGCAGTATTTCCCACACATGGGAAAAACATATTACATTAAAGTCACAAAATTAGATAGGTATATTAAAGCTTAATATCAAACCTTAAATTTAGCTTTAATAGAAAATTCCTTTATTTGGAATATACTTCAACACAATCACAAATAACATTTATATACTCATTCTGACCATAATTGCTCAATCATATGCTCTGGCACTGCACTTCATATAAACCTTTTAAGCTCTTATTTCATTACACTGTAATGAACTGTTTATATGACTCTATCCCAACTTGACTGCATTTGAAGACAAAGTGTCATTTACTTCAATATCTCAGTACTGGTAGCAAATAGATTTCCAAAGGTTTGTGAAATGACATAGGCAGTATTTTTACATTTATAAATAAACCTGTGAATAATTTTAGAGGAGAAAATTAAGTTTAGAGGTTATGTAACTTGGCTGATATCACAGAGCAAGTAAATAAATGAAATCAGAATTCTAATCCAGGTCTTCAGTCAAAAATTTTTATGCCCTTCCCATCATACAACATATTACCACAAATTGTGCAAGAACTACATACTGCAATAGTTGTCGATAACTAAAAAGGAACAACTTAACCACAAAAGTTTGTAACAGTAAAGGTTCCTTAAAAATGAGAACTTTGGCTCTGGCCAGGTAGCTCAGTTGGTTACAGCATCATCCCAATATGCCAAGGTTACAGGTTTAACCCTGGGTCAGGGCCCATACAAGAATCAACCAATGCATGATAAATAAGTACAACAACAAATCGATGTCTTTGTCTCTTTCTCTCTCTCTTCCTCCCTTCTTTTCTTTCTCTCTAAAACCAATCAACAAACTAAAATTTAAAAAATATAAATGAAATCTTTAAGCCGTCAGCCAAAATAAAATGACTTATTATTATTACATTCTCAACATAATACTGCTATTTAAGTATTGATGAAAAGATTTTACCTTGTACTTCTTTATCATGGTACTCTTTTAGTTTTGTCCAAAGATCCTTAAAGTCACTAGATATATCTGCGAAACTAGGGCTTCCACAACTGCTTCCAGAGACGTTCATCTTGCCTTAATACGCTTGACACTGTATTTGCCTAATGTTTTCTGACCTTTTCTGTTACATTATATAGGTATGAAGTTGTCTTTGGACAGCTGAAATACCTGAAACGACAGATCAAAAAACAAATGAATCCTTCATTTACCTTTATGTAATTTGAGCCTAGCCAACTGTTTTCAAGTTTTCCTTATTTACCTACAATCAATAACTTTGAGAATTTGGTGGAGTGGAAGGGAATGGAAAGTAAGGAAAGATGATTATGGTGAGAAAAGCCCCACTTTCAGTAATCCGGACTTTAGTTAAGCTAAATTTTCATGCAAATTTTCTCTTACTCCTTGTAGAAGAAAGTAATTACCTAAATTATGTTAAATTGAAAGCCCCCTGATATACAGAGGTTTGTAATCATTCATCATTAGTATTGACACACCATTCTAAAAGGATTTATTGCTTTTTAAACTTTGAATAAGGACAGAGTACAACAGTATATTGAACAAAAACTGAAAAAACATTCTGAAATATTCTTAATAAGCATTCATGTTTATACACATATACATACATACGAAAACATGTTATAAAGAGCAAGGAAGATGAGTGACATTTTAACCCAATGTCTGAATAGCTGGCTTTCTCATGTAATAGCTGGCTTTCTCATGTAGTGAGTGAGATATGGACGTAGCAAAGATCTATGAACACAGAAACAGCTAATAACAAGGCAACTGGGGTAAAGCTATTTTGTGCCTCTCTTGGAGCAAAGGTAAGTAAGTTTATTATCTCCCTAGCCCTCGAAGGAAGCAATAGGCTATTATTAAGAAGTAGATTAATAAATATTTTAATGGGTTCTTAAATTTGAGATCATTAACTAGCTACCACCACACAAGTAAAATGATTAACAAATCTACTAAACCTCACACCTGGCTCCTTAGTCAATGCCTTACTATAGCTACCAAGTATCCAAACTGATTTAAGTGTCTCTTGTTAACCATTTCTTTTATTAAGTTTTCAAAAATTGTGATTATACTTTTCCGAGACAATCAGTGAAAACTAAACATGGACTGGATTGTAGATAATATGAGGGTATTTTTAATTTTCTTGGGTATGATAATGATATGGTCATATTTTTTTAAAGTCCTTTATCTGCTAAAACAGATATATGTGGAGGTGTTTGGAGGTGTTCACAGGTGTTCTGAGATCTGCTTTAAAATATTCCAGCTAAAACAAACAAAACAATGGATGTTGGGTGGGGAGATGAAACAAGGAGGACTGAACTTTGACAATTATTGAAGCTGGGCAATGAATAAGGTAAGTATACGAGGGGGTTCATAATCGTAGTGTCTCTCTTGTGTATGTATTATTTCCATAACGAAGTTTTTAAAAAGTGGAACTGGGTGCACTGCATTAGTACAGTTTTATTTTCAAAGAGACTCGTATTCTATTTCTTAACTGTAAAAGATAAATCAATGGGTCTATACTGCCAGTAAAAGCCACCATTTATTAAGTGTTCACTATATACCAAGGACTGTGATGTCTTATATTCATTTTTTATCCTAATTTTCAGAACAACTCCACAAAAACAGCTACCATTATTGATTTCATTTTAGAGCTGGAGAAATGGGATTAGGAGATTAACTGACTGGCCCAAGATGAGATTGCTAGGACGAGGTTTTGTCACAGCTGGAACTCATCTTGTGATGCCAATAACAGCAAAATACTGCTAAGTAACCAAAACTAGGTAAATTACTTATTCCTATTAAGTAAATAATGTAAAACCAAATTTTACTTTAATAAATTTTAAAATGCATAGTATTAAATAATTTTAAGCCAAGAGTAAAAAAGGGTACTATAAGAAATATACCTATCTGTATCTTCAGAGATAGATATGTTTCTTAAACCCCCCCCCGCCACATAAAAATAATTTATCAATATTAAACTTGAAACTTCTGGCTCCTATCCTGCACACCCAGCTGTTGGTAAGTCTTCTGACAATGAACCGTTATTCACTGCACGATGGCACACTCTAAGATCTCAGAAATGTACATCGTGCCTCTCAAGTCGCTTCCTGGGCTCAAAGGTCTGGAGAAAGTAATACATTTCTGCGCAGCCTGCAGCAGTGTAAACCACCACATTGAAGGTGCTGGGTAAAACATTTCTTTCGTATCACACGTGTATTCTCATACAAGTAAGGAAAGACCACGCCACGAGTCACACTCGAGCCCTTAACTGAATAAGGATTTTGAGCAGTTGTCTCACTAGCAACCCAGAGGTTCACAAGTTCCCTTTTCCAGGACCCTCAGCCATCAGCCTCCAATTCCACAAGCTAGCCAAACAGGTAAGCGCGAGGGGCTATTCCGCGCAGGGATACGTCTGCGCGTGCGCGGGGGCGGTCTAAGCCGCGGCGCAGCTAGTCCAAAACTTGCGCGGGAGAGTAAGAAATAGTACGGAGCCCGAACCTGTCTTCTGTCCCCTTGTTCCGACTTTGGCCCGGCCGCAGCCTACTCACGAACGCTCAGCCCCACAGTCCTACAGCCATCCCTACCCTAGGGTCCCAGAGCGTTGGGTCAGCGCGCCGCTCCAGGCCGGAAGTGGACTCCACGACCCGGCGCTCCGATTTGGGAAAAGAGATTCCTCTTACTCACGGCTTCCAAGATCGTCTTCAGATTATCGAAAGTCCCGGCCAGGGACGCCGGCACGTACCGGGGCTGTGAAGAAAAGGCGGCTTGCTGTTCTTTTCCTCACCAGTTTGCCAAACGCCCGGCGGGAAAGCCAGCCCCTCAGGGCAGGCCCCTTTTTCCGGCCGTGGGGGAGGGCTCCAGGGCCGCGGGCCGAGTTGGCAGGCGGCCACGCCCGCCCTGTTGGAACCCGTGCGACGTCACGCGGGTGTTCCCGGGCGTTTACGCCCCTCCTCCCGCCTTGTAAAGAGGCGGCAATCCGTAGGACTGTCGCGGACTGGGATCTAAAGGGTGTCCCTTCGTGAATGCACTGAATGAGTGCACTGATGGGGAGGAGAGGGCCACCTCTGGGTTGCCGGGAGCTCCCGGTCCAAGAACTGGCGATTGCGACAGCGTTTTGGGGATTTCCTGGAGAAAGGTCAAGCCATTCTGTTTGGGAAGTTTCAATTCCTTGGTGTTACACGAAAGTTACAGATGGGTCTGATTTAAGCACATTTCCGGGAAAGGATATAGGAGTGGCTTGTGCCAAATGGAAAATAAAAGTAACTAATGAGGGAACAGACACGGATTTAGCTAACGTAATTCTCTGCCTAGTAGACATTACCTGCAGTTCGGTAATGTGACCTGACAGGACTGGGTGGCGAGGGCAGATAGCAAAACGACGTGTATTTTGCTGAGGTTAAACGGAAAGTTTCTGGCGAAACTGAAATGAGAAGGAATCACAAGTGACCAATCATTGTTTGTCGGAACAATATATTAGGTAATATATATTTTTTAAATCAACATTTCCCGTGTCTGATAACATTGAAGCTTAATGTATTTTCCTATTGTGATTGCTAAAAGAAGCGTTTCAGCACTAGGAATTCTACAAATGAAGTTGAAGAAAATAAACACTAGACTAGGCCCATAATATCTGTTAAACCTGATCAATACTTTTCTGTAATTCTAAGACTTGGGAGAAAGACAGGACAATATAAACTTTAAAAACTTAAGTAGTATTTAGAAAATCATAAATATAACATGTAAAAGTAATTTTTCTAGTCATTGATCTTGAGTGAATATCGTAGCTTCTTGAGATTGAACGTAACTACTTTCTGTACTATTTTAACAATGATATAGGAATGTTGGAATTTTTAAAGAGGGCTGTTGAACCTTCATTAGCAACCATAATTCACGTCCAAATTTTATAAGACTTAATTCATAACACTTAGAGAAAATGGGTGAAAAATTGACCATGCCATTTTTAATATAACATCGGAGGCATAACTGCTTGTATAAATGTTTATAATGGAAATGAAGAGTTTTGTTCTAAATGGAAAGAATCTATAATCAGTGTGTCTTTTAATGGCACATTGAAAGAAGGGCATACTTGTGGTCCAGCGAAAAGCTATGGTAACTAAATGACCTGACCTGTTCCTTCTGGCCTCTGCCAGCGACTTCACTGTCCAATCTATTTTAGTCAAAATCGAGATAATCATCCTTGGTACCTTTTTCCTTAACCCGCATCAATCTATCAATAAGTCTTGTCAATTTTACTTACCAAATATCTCCCAAATCCATCTCTTCTCTTCATTACCACCCCAATATTCCAAGGTCCCATTATCTCCTTACTTAGTCTACTGTTAATCTACTGCTCATATCCACCCAACCAACACCCCTACCTAAACCTTTCTCTTCACTAGTGTTGAGAAAAAAATTTAAGCATCTATTCTCAATTTATGTATATATTTAAATTTTAAATTGTACATGTATTGATGAAAAATGGTAAATAGTCTAATGAGTAAGTGACAGGTTCTGGAGCCAGACATCCTGGCTTTGAATCCTGCTCTAATACTTCCTTACTAAGTGACCTTGGCCTGTTTTCTTAAGCCCTGTCTCACTTTTCTTACCTGTAAAACTAGGAATATAATAGTACCAAACTCCAAGAGTTATGAGGAGTAAATGAGTTAATGTATGTAAACTGCTTAGTTGCACAGTATATCTTCCATAAAAAGCTAGCCCTTACTATTATAACACATTTGAAGATATTTTTTAAAGCATGAGAAAAAAATTAATATCTAGTATCTTCTCCAACCTTAAATTTTGCCCACTTTGAGACTACTTCTCTATACTATAGCTAACTACTGTGATCTTGAAAAAATAAGTCTGTTAATGGCACTATGCTGTTTAAACCCTTTCAGATGGCTGACTTGTTAACTCTTTGAAGAAAGCCCTTTTGAATTGCCTGTTTTACTTCCCCAGTTTATTTCCAAACATCTCCCTTCTGGCCTCACTGGCCTTTTAGTCCCAGGCCTTCCTGCACTGTTTCCTTGGTCTGCAATCCTTAACCAAACATACCCCTACCTTTTGCCTAATGATTACTAATCCTTTTATTTTGTTTTAATAGTCTCTTCTATTGTTCTTATAGCATTATGTACTTTCTCACCTTACACTTATTATAATTTAAATTATTTATTTAATCCAGTCTCTTCACTAGATTTTAAGTTACTTGAGGTTAAAACTATGCCTTGTTCACCTTTGTATCTTCAGAAAGTAACTCAGTGTTTGCTATAGTCAGTATTTTGTGGATAAATGAATTGGGTTTCCCTTGAGGGATTCCAATTTTTCATGTAGGTGGAGGAAAACCTTTGAATCCATTCAAAAGTATTAGTTTCTCCTTATGAGATTCTAGGATGGTTACTTTAACGGTGGAAATGGTGGGCATAGATATTTGGCCCCAAAAAGGAGCTGTATTCCCCTACCTAATAGAAAAAATTATGAAGTCCTGAAGAAGTGAGAACATTTCTTTAACAGAGAAGCAGCTATTTTTAACCTTTTAAAAATACTAGGTTTCTCATTTTTTTATGGCTTAGAACATTGCTTCCCAAACTTTTTCAATACTTAGAAAATGAATACTTGTATTACTGTATTTTGCTGTGTATAATGCACACCCACATTTTTGTGCAAATTATACACAGAACCATCGTGCCCATGGTACATAGTCATTATTCCCATGTATAATGCGCACCCATATTTTTCCCTCAAAAATGTAGGCAAAAAGTACATGTTATACCTGGGAGAATACAGTGTATCGTGATAAAGAAGATGAGGCTGCTTCCACTGAGAGGGAACAGAAATCAGGACTCCAGCCGTGCCAGGCTCAGAGCCGCCATCTTGAGATGGGATTTTTCTGTATCATCGTAACTAAAATCTGTTGGAGGCTTAAGTTGTTTGTTTAAAAGTTGCCTGGTGAGATGGTTAAAATAGTAAATCTGGTATTATGTACATTTAACCACGATAAGAAAAATTGTGTGGCATCAGTAAAAATTCTAAAATACTTAGAACTATAGAATTTTGAAAATATATAGATTTTAAAATCATCTAACTTTTAGCCATTTTACAACTGGAACTTGATTCTGCTTAACTCCTACCGTTGGGTAGCTGAGGGTTGTGAAGTTAAAAATCACATAATAGTTTAGACTGATAGCACTAAAATTATGTGGTTTCAGACCTCATGTAAGGCATCAGTTAATCCTTAAAATAGCCTTTGATCCGCTCTTTCTGTTTCCTTTGCTGTCTTCCAAACCTTCGCTATTTTCTCAAACCTTTGTGTAGTACTGTCACTCCCAGCAGACACCCTAGCTTTCTGGTTACACAAAATGCTTGGGCTCAGTGGGTGTGATCTTCTTGAACTTCCCTTTTCCTTTCTCAATCCTGTGAATTAGGCAATACCATTTTTTAGGTAAAAAAAAAAAAAAAAAGGAAGAAAGAAAGAAACTTGAGCCCTGGCCAGCGAATGGTTACAGGTTTGAATCTTGGTCAGGGCACATACCTAGGTTGCAGGTTCTATCACCAGTCGGAGAGCCTCCAAGAGGCAACCGTTTGGTGTTTCTCATTCGTCACCGTTCTCTCTAAAAGCGATGAAAAAATGTCCTTGGCTGAGGATCAAAAAAAAAAAAAACACAAACAAGCAAACAAACAGTAAGCATGAATCCAGTTGCCTATCCCCTTTTTAACACACTGGGTTAAGCCATCATCATCTCAAACCTCTTCTTCAGCAATAGCCTTTTTCTTTAAATCAGCTATTTCGACTTCCACTGTTTTCCCCTTGCAGTGTATTCCCCACAGCAGTCAGAGTAGTCCTTTAAAACCTAAGAACATGATGTTTCCCCTGCCTAAAATATTCTAGGATCTTCTCATTTCCTTAGAATAAAATAAACCCCCTTTCCATGGAGTCAGGACAAGTCAACAATTATATTCTACTGATGTTACCTTCTAAATTTAGCTTTGAATTAGTGCTTTCCTTTCCATTCTCACACTTACTGCTCCAGGTTAGGCGCTGATATTTCTTACTTAGACCACAGCCTTCTTGTTTCAAGCCTTGTTCAGCTTGATCCACTGTCTACTCAGCTGCCAGAGATTTAAATCATTTCTGATCTTGGGACTGCCTTGGTTAAAACCTTTTGGAGCACTCTGTTGCCTAAGGGTTAAAATTCAGTCCCTTTAAAATGTCACAGGAGCCCTTTCTAGCCTTGTATATTCTCTACCCTCTGCCCTACCCTTTCCTTCTTATTATAGGAGACTTCTTTTATTCCTCTTTTGTCCCCTTTGCTGTTTCTTTATTGTGACCCATACAATCTTTTGGAATTGCCTTCACCCCGATCCTTTATATTTTTACCTTTCTACTTACTTATCCTTTAAGACTCAGGTGGCTCGGCTTCCAGGAGGCTAACCTAAATTGCTCTTTACCTCTTTCCTACCCCCTTCCAAAAATAGCTTTCCTTATTCTCCCATACCTCTTTATATATCTTGATCACTTTATTTAACGCCATTATACTGTAATTATTTTTGTATCTTTTCCACCTAGGCTGTGGGTGGTTATTTGACAGCAGAGATTGTGCTTTCTTTATTCTCAGAATTCCTAGTTCTTATAGGAGTCTTAGCACAGTTCTACACAATAGAGCCATATATATAATTTCAAACTTTCTAGTAGCCACATTTTGAAAAGTATAAAGAAGCAGGTGAAATTAACTTAATGTATTTTATTTAATTAAATTTATCTGAAATGACCCTGGCCTGATAGCTTAGTTAAAGAGTTGTTCCCATATGCCAGGGCTGTGGGATTGATCCTTGGTCAGGACACATACAAGAATCAGCCAATGAATCTAGAAATAAGTGGAACAAAAAAAAAATTGATGTTTCTTTCTTTCCTTTCTTCTCTCTTTCTAAAATCAAAAAACGAATAAGTTTTACCTAAAATATTATTTCAGCCCTGGCTGATGTGGCTCAGTGGATTGAGCACTGGTCTGTGAACCAAAAGATCAATGATTCAGTTCTCTGTCAGGGCACATGCCTGGGTTGTGGATCAGGTCCCCCGTTGGGGGTGTGCTACAGGCAATCAATTGATACTTCTCACACACATCGATGTTTCTCTGCCTCTTTCTCCCTTCCCCTCTCTCTGAAAATAAATGAATAAAATCTTTCAAAAATAAAATACTTCAACATGTAATCAGTATAAAAATTTATTAATGAAGCTTTCTACATTCTTCACGCTATTCTAAAAAATTTGATGTGTGTATTATCTTTATAGTACATCTCAATTTGGATTGGCTACATTTCAAGTGCTCAAAGCCACATGTCGCTAGTGGCTACTGTATTAGACCACGTAGACCTAGTACAGATAATGAACGAAATGAGTTATGTGATTTATCTGAAGAACCAGGATAGAGATGAGAGACTGAGACAACAATGTATAATTCCTAGTCTAAGGCTATTTCTGCTATTTGTGCTGGGCATTTCCCATTTTGCTCCCATTCCAACATCATCCCATTCCCCTTTCCCCCCACCACTGAAGGCCTGTATCTTTAGGCAAAAATTTAAAAGTAAGTGATTAAACCCAGTAGGAATAGCCTTGGCTGATGTAGCTCAGTGGATTGAGCTCAGGCCTGTAAAGCAAAGGGCTACCAGTTCGATTCCCAGTCAGGGCACAAGCCTGGGTTGCAGGCCGGGTCCCCAATAGGGGATGTGTGAGAGGCAACCACACATTGATGTTTCTTTCCCTTTCTTTGTCTCTCCCTTCCCTTCTCTCTAAAAATAAATAAATAAAATCTTTTAAAAAAATAAATAGATAAACCCATTAGGAATATTTAAATAATACTGTTCAGCACTTCTAAAATGAACACACCAGTGAACTATTTTAAGAATAACAGAACTATTTTAAGAATAAGACAAAAGGCTGTTTAAAAGATAAGACTTTAAAACAAAAAAAAATTATGCATATGTCAACTGGAACACTTGCTGTAATTGTTTGAAATTTGTTTACAGTAATTACCAAGTGTTGTTTGGGGATAGGTATATATATCAATTAGTGATCTTGCCCCAGGTGCCAAAATGTTTTGTATGGGATTCGAGTTGATGGTGCTGAGATCCAGTTAGGTTGAGCAGTAGCTTAATAATTGTTTTAAAAGATATATTTAATGTTCATGAAGAATGTCAGTATCACACTTTTTATTTTGACAGTTGTAGGTGGTCATTAAAGTGCTACATATACATTAAAGATTATACATGGGTTTCCAATTAGAAAAATTAGCCTCATGTAGTCTGGCCAATTTCCAGCTTAGATAAAGAAGATTTATTTTGATTTTCACTATGGCTACATATACCTTCTTCATTTCTTTTAATAAACTATTAAAGTAGTTTTGTTTCATTAAATATTCACTTAACTACTTCATTTCATATCAGTAATGGGCAAGATTTTACTAGATATGTATTTTTCCCAATTTAGGAACCATCTTTTTATATTTGGTGAAGATAGTATATCTGATAAAATTACATAGTTGCCTAGGTTTAAATGATGATGAGCTGATCAAGAATGTTGATCTGTTATTGCAAAATGATTTGTTATCAGTGGAAAGTGTCATCTTTTTCTTTCAGGTCATCCATTTATAATAATACAGTGGCTGCTTGGGCAATATTTGATACCTATGCAGATAGGTTTATGAAGCCCAGTACTTTTGTTAGTTAGCCCTGGCATTTATAAGATTGGTGTTAACACAACACTGACCGTGAACACTGGCCTTCATTCATAAGAACCTCAGAGTTTAACTGCTCCAGTGATGATAAAAGAATTTGAGAGTGATCACTAAGACCTTAGAGTAGAAAAGTAGATTTTATTCTGGTAATTTTGAAAAACTAATCTTTACTTTTTTATCTAGTAAATATAGTACTATACTGCATTGTCCTATGGACATTTATATAATGCTACCATGATTGAAATTGTGGGAACAATTTTTATTTACAATAATGTAAGTGGAAAATATTATGACGGTTAACTATAGGAACAAACCACCTGGAGTCTATTAATTAAAGCATTCTTTGATACGTTCACAAGAGCAAACATGTTTAATATTCATTGCTTTATCTACTTTTAAGAAAATAATGATTCACATCTTAAATGGTAATTTTCCCATTTGTGAATTGATAAATTTATTCACTCCTAGCAAATAGTTGTAATATTTAATGTATTCATGTCTCACAAATTACAGATATGATATGTCTTCAAACAGTCACTCTTCAAACTGACTTCCCCACTCCCCCACCCCCCGCAGTTTTTCCTGTTCTTACTAGAGAAAAATACTTTGTTTAAATACTGGGTTTGTGCTTTTCCTAATCCAGATATTAGTTTAGGGTTAAGGTAGCTTGATCGTCACCATTCCAAAAATATTTTATGTCCAAAATTCTTAGAGGAGAACTTTGGTTTCAGCCAATACTTTTCAATTTTACTTAAGTTATAATCAGAATTACTAGAAATATATAGTGAAATTAAATTATGCTTTAATTCACTTCACACCCTTGATGATAATGTGCATTTGTAGAGGACTTTTTTAGCTATAGTTTTTACAGCCTATGTTTGCGTGGATGTTAAGACTGAAATAAATAGATTTCCTCTTCCCAAATCTAGGATGCTTCTTATGTAAAGTGACCATATGCCCTGGCTTACCAGCAACAGTTCTGGTTAATGTCTGTTGTTCTGGCTAATTATTAATAGGGCTTCTGTTGGCTCTAAAAATGCCCTGGCTTTGGTTATAAATCATATGATCAGAAGCCTTAAGGAATTTTAAGTATAAACTAATAAAATAAGGTCATTACATGACCTTAGATTAGTAAGGAGTATTTCCTTCTCAACTATGTACAAATCTATCTAAACTCTTCTTAGAGAATATTATGGTACAGATAATATAAGCCATAATATTATTTGATTTTTTGATAGTACTCTGAAATTCCTGAGTTTAGAAGTGGTTTGTTTAATACTGATAGGAAATGGATTCAAGAACAATTAACTATGGTAAAATACAAGTGCTTTTCCTACATTGGTTCTCTTTTGAATCTAAAAATAATTGTCATAAAAGTAGAATCAGTACAGTTTTCATCCTTCCACAGAAGTTGAGAGATTAGGTGGTTTGATTAGCATTGTATGTATAAGCTAGTAGATGAGTTGACTTCAAACCCAATCTTCTGGCTATAAATCTTATATCTATATTCTTTGCAGTACACCCTACTATTTTTGAGCCATAAAATTTATTTAAAACTTACCCTGTGCTTTTCATTTTTTTATCCTCACCTGAGGATATGATTATTGATTTTAGAGAGAGAAGGGAGAGAGGGGGGAAAGGGAAACGTCAATGTGAGACTTACATAGATTGATTGTCTCTCGTTTGCATCCCAACTGTAATCAAATCCACAACCTTTTGGTGTACAAGATGACACTCCACCCAACTGAGCCACCCAGCCAGCGCTAACTAAAAGGACTTTCAAATTTGATAGCAATTTAATGTTAAATCATAATTGAGAAGAAAAAATAAACTGGGCTCTCTCAGTCAGGGTTGGAGGGAATTACCTAGTATATTAGACCAATGTCAGTTCATGTTTTGGATTTCGGGGGGCATTAATAATTGTATTTTTTAGTAATTAGGGCCCACATGCTTTTTTAACTTGCCTTACAATAAGTGTGGACATTTGAGAGATGAATATAAATTGACTTGTAATGGAATTAGCAAACATGTTTATATTAGCCTTTCCTAGCCACAAGTTGTGGACTCTTCTATGCAGTTAGTTTAAAACTAAATAGAGTAAAGAGCTTTGAATTAATTATGTTGTAATCTCAGAAGGGACCCGAGCAGGAAGTGCTTTAAAAAATTGCAACTGTGTTCTACAGTCACTGATGGCATGTAGCCACATGCCCACCATATGGTATTGGGGAATCCTGAGCTAGGAGATAGGACGAGGGTTTAAACTCTGGCCCTATCTCTGATTATCTGCATGTTTCCTAGATAAGTCTTATTTCCCCCACTGAAATATGAGAATAATCATACTTACTATGTCCGAAAGAGGTTGCTGTAACAATGAAATAATATATGTGAAATTTCTTTTAAAGAAGACTTCATAGAAGTTTGGGGCAGCATACCTACTGGGAATTAGCAGAGTGGTAGAAGAAGCTTGCCTATTGGAAGCAGAAGGCATGTGCAAAGATTCTGCTGTGAGGAATCATGAATTCTAGAAACCATAAGTATATACTAGTGTATTATATAGGTTGCTATTGGAAAGTCAGCAGAAGCGCCACTTAATTTGTTTGATGAATTCCACTTTTAATTATAATCCTATTGAGCAAGTAATTTAACTGTTCTGTGCCTCAGTTGTTTATCAACGAAATGAAAATAATAATATATATTTTGGGTTTTTCACAGGTTTGTTGATAGGACTGAATGATTACATGTATATATCCAAACAGAGTAAAAAACTGTTGTTAATCATAGATAGATTTAAGAGCCACAGCTAATCATAGAGATCTTTCTAATTGCTAGTTATATAATTATAGTGAAGTTGTTGAATTGCTATGTAAATTGTAAGACATTTGTAATTATAGAAGGGGTTAAATTACAATTTGTTAAGTGCTTTTACATATCTTATTTGATTCACATAATTAAGTTTAGATGAATCAGGTAGTATTATTATATTGCTATTTCCATTTTATTCCAAGGGACTTTTAAAAATCATCTAGTCCAACTGCAAAATTGCATAGGAAGAAAAAACTAATTTATTTGTTTATTTCAGAAATTGGTGGTTGTAAGAAATCATTTTCTAAACACAGATTTATGATCAGCTAAGGTCCAAGTCCAAGAAAGGAAGCGTTGATTGTGATCTGAGCTGATTTAGTGAAGACCTGAGTGTATTTTATTGTTCCTTTTGAAAATAGTACCTCTTATTATTGGGTTTTGTTCAGCAGTGTCTGTCCCCACTTTTTTCCTTTTAATTTCCAGCCCCTCTTCAGTCTAATTTCTCTATTTCATCTTTATCAATTCATTAGCTTATTTAACCACCTGCTAAGAAAGAGGATTGTTTAAAAACTCAATTATTTTAACAATTCAAGTTAAGTGAAAAGATAATCAGACTTATTTTTTATTTATACCTATTTTTTCTTGTTTAGCTAAACTAGCTGTCATTATGCAAACAAATATAGTATTTATTTAACTAAAGCACACAACTGGCTGTTTAGTTTTCTGTTCTTAATCTATTAGACTAGAACTTTTGTCTAATATATTCTTCAGAGCCATGCTCTAGGATCATATTAGAGGTTATAATGAATTGTTTCTTGTAACCAGACCCTCCTGGACATGGTCCAAGACAAACTTGTACTATTCAAAATTCTGCATTTCATTATAATAGGAACTGTTACTTAAGGGTCCAATGTAGTCAGTCTGTTTTTACTATAGTTTTACCAATGTAAATTTAAACAATAAAATCTTTGTATCACTGCTGGACACAAAGTATTTTCAGAGTACATACCAACTGTTCATTTTGCTGCTGTTTGGCCATTTAAAAACTGGCAACCAAATTCAGGAAATGAAATGTAGTTTATTAGAAAATACCTTTCTCACAGAAGATCATATTTCAGTGCATCTCAGGTTTTGTGGGAATGGATCAAATACATCAAGATGTAAATAGGCTAAAGTTCTGCACTTTACATTTGAAAGTGCTTTACTCATTTCTCAGAAAAATCCATTTTAGTTATATAATGTATTAAAATTATATCAGTAAACCAAGGAAAAGGCACTTTGACCATATTTTTCCTGTAATAGTGATGAACTGGACACTTTTGGGGCCCCACTTACTCCAGTCATTTCAGTGGTAACCAGATTCATGCAGGTGAAACCTGACAGCCCCTTACCTGGATTTTCTGTCCTGGGGGCTTTTCTGAAGCCTTTGGAATTAGAAGCACAACCTGAAAGTGTGAAGAAATTAACAACTCATGAAGCAATCCTTAACTGATAGAAGTCAGAACTGATGGATAAAGGCTCCTCTGTTATATCTGCAGCTTCATGGCTCCTAAAAAGGTCCTGGGATTGAGCCCCATTTGCCCATAGGCAGGGATGAACTCCTGAATGCACTCTCGTATTGGCCTTTGCCCCTCCCTGTTTCCTTCTCCTAATCCCCCACTACTGTTCCTGGGATAACGTCCCAAAAAAAGGACTTGCACATAATCTGGAGGATTTAGGATCTACTTTCCCAAGGAGAACCCAAATTAAGATATAAAGGTTAAACATGAGATTTCCATTTCACTATTTTTAAGTTATTAATGTAAAATTTAATTTTTGAAAGTTTATACGCATGGATAGGAGTCAGGTTACTTGCCTGTACTACTTTGTAAATATGTTAATGCTGACCTGAGATTGGTTGAACGTGTACATTTGAAGCTATTTTTTTTGATAGTGGTAATGGTTGGATTTGAAGGAACTCCTACTCTCTTGCTCAGTCTCTCATAGGCAAGAGAATATTTTTTTGCTGCTTCTCAAACTGCATTAGGCATCAACATAATTTAGAAAACATGTAAATATGCAGATTCATAGGATCTACCTACCAGAGATTCTAAGGTGATACATCTAGATGGAGTTTAGCAATCTGCCATTTCAATAGGCATCACTCAGGGTCCAGAGAGTATACTTTGAGAAACACTGGTACATTATTATAGCAGTAATTCTGCTGGGTGTAATCTATGAGTTAAATTAAAACTAACTGACTCCATAAGGACTGAATTAGTATTATGGTATTGTTAATGGTATGTTCTTATAAATTAAGCTAAAACCACAGACTGAGAAATAGGATTAAACAGATAACCCAATTTTTATTTCAGTCATTGTGCTCTTCCTTCATAGAAATTTGATTTCATATTGCTTACTTGGCATTAACAACAGTATTAAACATGTAGTTTATTATATCAAGGAACTGCTGAGCATTTAATTTATGCTAGATATGTTTAATGTGTGCTTACTGGTGGAACTAGAAAAGGTCATTCATCTCAAGGAGTATTTATGAAGTAAAAGCTCACATCTTAAAAAAGTAAAATTGGAAAAGAGGCTGATGTTGTCATGCTGGAATGTACTGAACAACTTTTGTTACTGAATGGCCTGTAGCCAGGTTATGGGATAGCCAGATTCCAGGTCCAGTGCACAGGTTTCTGGCCTATAATCAGGTTCCAGTAGTTAATTCTATATTATAGTAAAAAAATAGTATACTTGTTTCTGAGCAACATATATTTGTTTTACACTTTGTCAGACAACTGGTTAGAAAGTGACCAAAGCAGTACTTAACAGATCACTAAAATGCCATTCAGTTCTTATTATATTTTTGAAAATTGATTCTATATTAATATCTTCATAAAAGTGAATGATCCTACCATCTCAGACTGCATTTCATCTACTTTTAGTTAGGAGACCCCTACCCTCCAAATTTGGACTTGTATGTTAAATGTAAGTTTTGTATAGAAAAACCTCACCACAGAATTCTCTAAATTGCTTCAAAAATATTTTGTTGAAAGCTATGCAAGTTATTGATACTGTATTTCTCAGTGTTTCAAGATTCATTCAGAAATTTATTGAAGTGTTTTTGTGTTGGAAGGAAGATTTTCTCATTCATAATATCAATCATTGTAGAAACTGTAGGTAAAGGACTTTCAAAGGAATAGAACTTTGAAACTAAAAATTTGACTTGTGAGTTATATTTTCACTTTGTCAGTAATAATAACTTCTAAGATAATAGTTTTATGATTACTTTTAAGACTGTATGTCTTTAACATGATGAGTCATAATGTTCTCTATTTCCCAGTTCATTTTTTGATGCATAGCAGGTTTGGTTGCTAGTCCTGAACTATCCAAATTATCTACAGAGGGTCCCTGACTTTAGATTCTTTTAGGCATTACAGTGGGAAAGTGATATGCATATAGTAGCAACAGTACTTCAAATTTTGGACTTTTGTGGGGCTAGCAATATGCAGTACTGTACTCTTTTGTGAGGCTGGTCAGCAGCTTCCAGTCAGCCGTGTGATTATAAGGGTAAGTGACCAATATTCTATAATGTGGTATTAGTATTAAATGCATTTTCAATTTAGGATACTTTCAACTTTTTAGGGGTTATTAGGATATGACCCCATCATAAGTTGAGAAGCAGCTATATTTATATAGAAACATTTAAAAATACCTTTGAAATTTATATTACTCCCTGCCCTCTTTTCAATTATTTATAGTAATATTTACTCTAAATCTATGAAAATAAATGCAAGTTAAATACTAATTTAATGAGTAGTCATATAAGATTAAATTGCTTACATATCTAGTAAAATGGTTTTAATAAGAATGTATATTAGTGGGCTTAATTGGTAAGTGGTACTTTTGTGTTCAGGTATATCATCATCTACATACAAGCTTTTCAGTTTAAGATAAAGACAAAATTCATTTTCCATGGATGTAAATTCAGATTATATTATCAGCACAAACCTTATTTATACAGAGATTAAACATCTTTACGGAAATTAAATTTGATTGCAAGAGCTCAATAAGATCAGTTTATGTTGTAAGTGGATCTTGTTTTTGGTTCTAATATTAAGTCATAACCCATTTCCTGTTCTTGGGTCTCAGAATGTTTTGTCACACTATTTGAACTCCACTCTGATTAATGACATACATTTCATAAATGTCTTCCATGTGGGCTTCGTTCATTAGCTCCATCTCCTAATCAGTTAATGACTGTGAGGCTAATTAATGTTATTGTTAGAAAATGTTAATTCTGTTCTGTCTTATTACACCCAATACATTTTGGACTCATTCTCACTATCATTTGCTATCTAGGAAATGCAATATAATTTAGTATTGACTACTATACATTTAATTTGAAAGAGAATCTTTTGGAGGAAAAAACATATTCTAGACCTCTGAGGAAATAATTAAATTGCTGGTAGAGCACAATCTTAAGATCATATAGAAATCCTTAGACAACTAATTTGATGTCATATAAAATAATAGATATAAAATGCCTTTGAAAAACTCAGATACTAGACACAGGTAAGGTATAATTTGGTTTATCTACGTCAAAGTTCCTTTCCTTACTATAGATTATTAAAATTTGAATTTTAAAAAGTACTTACACCTTTTCATTGCCTTCATATATTGCTCTCAAAATATGTTTAACAATGGCTTTGTGACTCTTAATTGGATTCTGTTATATGGGTTTCTAATTTTTTTTAATTTAATAAGGTTAAAATATTTTTCAATATTAAATCTTAATGCTTTTCAATCTTGCCAATTTAATTTTTATGTCTGGTGAAAATAAAATATATATTCTAAGTTAAGGTTTGGCTTCTCTTACTGAAGCTATTTGTTGAAATTTATTATATATTCTATTAATAGGGTGGAAAGAATATTGACATTTGCTGCACCTACTGCTGCACAGTTCTAGAAACTGTGTTGGGTGTTTTACACACAACACATCATGTAATCCTTTCAACAGCTCTTAGAGAATAGTATTAGTTTCCTTCACTTATGGAGAAAAGAGAACTCAGAGGGTTCTGTAATTCCTAAGGGTCAACTAGTTTGTAGCAGAGTCAGTATTCAAACCCATTTCAGTTTGGTTCAAAAGCCAACATATTACCCTCTCAACATACTATCCTTTCTCTTGCCTGTAAAGATAAGAAACAAATGCAAGGGATGATTTTCCAGAGTCCACTTGGACTGAACTAAATATACCAAATTTAGAAGCATCCCTCAAGTAGGATTTTCTCTGTGAAAAGATAAGGAGGTTAGGAAAACTAATATTTAATTCTAAGAATCAGAGTTGGAATATTTGAGCCTTTGGTTCTCTGTAATCACATTTCCTTGGAATTCCTTGAGTTAAAAACATTTAAAGCATTTTTTTAGCACTTCTGTGCAAAGCACTGTTAAAAGAATTCATCCCTTAAATAATAAGTTCTATCACCTTTAACATGGCTTTTGAATTCTGCAATTCTTCATAACCTTATTGAAAATTTCCTTCCAGTCCTAACCAAACTTTTAATGGCTTTTTGGGAAAAATTGTAAACTATATCCACATAAGAGTGACAAAAATAATTAAAAAATTTATATGTACATCCATTCTGAGAAAATAAACTGTTGAGATACTTTAAAGCAATATTAAGTCAGAAAATGACAACAGGGTCCACAAATATAAAAGAATGGGAGGCCAATATGAAGAAATGTGAGATACTCTTATCAGTTTGACAACAATTTTGTGATAGCATTAAGAGATTAAGGTTTGAATTGGTAGTCACCTTCATTACCAATGGCAACTCCATAAATTCAACCACTATGCCAAAAAAGTTTAGGAGCAAAAATGATATAGGTTTAAATATAAAGGCAAATAATTTCTTAGTTCAGCAAAGCCTTATTAACATAACACAATGTTATGTTTTACAAATCTTTTAGGAAATTCAGTTTAGATTTCATGTAGCATTCAGAAGAGTCAGTGAAGGGCAGTGAAAAAACCATTAGTATAGGATGATATTCAGGAAAGTGAGGTGTTCTACACTTACATTGTATAATAGTGATTAGCTACATTTTGGGGCTTTTCATTCAACCCAAACATGAGAAGTTGGATTCATTAGTTAGTAGGAAACATATGAAGCTATTCAGGAAGGAAAGAGGTTACTGTTAAGAAAGCTAGCATTGTTGACAAAAAGAGTCATTGTATGAAACTGTGGCTAGGAATAAAGACAAAGGAATGCACCCACAACTAGGCCTAAAGAATGAAAAGATTTTTAAATGAGTAGAACAGTTTTTGACCTGGTCCCTGAGATAACTTAGGGCTGTATAAAACAAACATAAACACATACACATACAAAACCACAGACTCCTAATTTGATTGATATAGCATTATAGCCCTAATTTTAATCAAAACATCACAAGGTATCAATATTTAAATAAATTTATGGAAAGTACGTAAAAGTCATTTAATAGGATTTTCATATATTTGAAACTGAACATTCTATTAAATGAAAATTGTAGAATCCCTCTCCAAAATGTACAGTTAGGCTTAAATATTAAAAAAATAAGAAAACCTGTAAGTTTTTTTATGAAAAGATTCATCTAGTTCCTAAATAACTTTACTCAAAATTATAAACAAAAAATAATAAATAAATTATAATCCTAAATTAAGTTTCAAACCGTAAGCCCTGTATTTAAATACTATATGGTTTTTAAATTTTTATATTACTATATATAATAGATTTACTAGAAACATTAAAAGTATACTCTATTGATATAAACCTGTATTTTGCCTGAAAACTTTTGAAAAGAGAAAAATTCAAGTAACTGAAATTTTTGAGCCATATTTGCCCCCAAATTGTCAGAATACAGTTTATGTTGAAAGAAATAAATTTTGGTTTGCTGAATCAGCACATTCCTTTTGAAAATTCAACACTACATGACTTTTTAGAAATCTAGCTGAATTAGAAGTTTTATGCAGAATTGCCTTGGAGAATAGGATTAAAAAGCATCCAAAGGATTTCCCTGCAAAGAAAAATGAAATCTCAGCTGAATATTTATTCTTTATTAACATCCTAAAGGAACACTTATGGCCTTTGAGGTTTAACATAATGACAAAGTAAGGATTCTAAGGACAATGAAAAGAATGCATCTGTCTTTTTCAGCTCAAGGCAAAGTCATATTAAAATGGTATACAGATAGCTCTTGATAGAATATTCAGTATAAATCTGTTTAAAAGTTATTTTATTTTCCAAACAAATTCATATGTCAACTATTATGTTAAATTAAATGCCCAGAAGATTTGTGTATGGAATTCAATCTGATGTTAAGGGGGTAGTTAGGTATACCAAAATACATCTAAAGGAACTGGCAACTTTCACTTTAAATGACACAAACTCCTAAAGTAAATTAATTGGATCCATGAAAGATATAAAATAATAACTTTCAAATATAAAGGAAAGGAAGATCCAAATTTTCTTTAACCCCAAAAGTTTTTCAGTGTAATAAAGCATGACAAAAATCTATCTTCATTCCTTTCTATTCAGCTCAGTAAGTGTTTTTGAGCTCCAATAGTTAATCAGTTACCAGACTCCACATCTTTGTTTTTCACACTCCTTAATTCTTGCTGCGAGTTGTTCCTCTTAATGTACTTAGGACCACCAAGGAAGCCAACACCAATTTTTTATGCTTTAAAAAAGCAATTATTATTTCATCCACAATTAGATTCACCATTTAAAATTGTTATCATATAGCAACAGCCTGTAAAATGTAATAGTATATTATCACAGAAGTAGATGACTGGACATGAATTATTAATAGATGAAATATATTTAGCAAAATTATTCAACTCAGCTTTTAAAATAGCTATAGCCATGCCCAACTTACAAAAAGTATAGCAAAAGTGTATAGTATACCAAATAACCTTTATCCAAACAAATCAGTGAACATATATGCAAATGTTATAAAACTACATCTAACCAGCTTTACATAAAAGGTATAATGCAAGTATTATCATATTTAAAAAAATCTGTCTTCTTAAACATTATTTAAATTAAGCTTCCAAAAGTGCAGAGAAAATTGAGAAATATAAAAAAAATTATTAACTTACCCTTAAGTTTTTTGGAAAACCTCTACTCTTGGTCAAAAGCAGAAAGCGTTTCACTGCTGATTTTCCCTGAAGCTATGAACTTAAACAGTAACTCAACTGGAAGCCACCTCTCTGGATCATGCTAGAGTTTGCTAGACACGACTGCTATGTGGAAGAGTTTTGCTGCATCTAAGCTATATACAGTGTGCAATGGATAACCTAATATGCCTTTCATTTAACTGGCTGGGCAGGTTTCTACAGACTGTGGAACATGGACTCAAACCAGAATATGTTGGCATAACAAGCCAGTCAAACCGGTTCTTCTGTGGATCTGGAACCTGTCTAACCAGTCTGCATCAAAGGCTAGCCCAACAAGCTACAGCGGCTCAGCCCTGCTAAGCTTGTACAGGATGACTTATCCCCACCTGCCGTCAGCTCCCAACCAACTGCTCAGAATGTTGTAGCCTCCAGCAAAATAATTCAGAATTCTAATGGGAGGGGTAGCTCTGTGTCAGGAATAGCAAAGCCCATTGTTATAAGCCTCTCATTGTAGGTACCTGAGTATCTTTCCAACAGAGGTCGGTAATTTTTTTTAAATGTAATATAGGCTCTCTGAAGACTAAAGCCTTTAGAGACTATCTACAATAATGAAGAATCCGTAATGCCTGACCTTTCTACTGGTCTCCTGGGCTCTGTTTGGTCTAGCAGAGCCTTGAGGAGGAGGTTGACATTCCCACAAGAGTAGTGGCCCTAAGAGGTGGTAGTAGGAAGGGTTTTTAAAGGGAAGGAAACAAGGGCAGGGGGTGACTAACATTTGCCTGGGTATGTTACCCTCCTTGTACTTAAATGATCCTCATACCATGTCAGTTTGAAATTGGAAAAACTCCTATTTCTATGTACTAGGGCAATTTGGAGAGGTTTTACTTTGAATATTCAACAGTTGAACACAAAGAACTGATATCTACTAGGCACCAGGAACTGTGTCAGGTACATGGTTGCAATGGTGAAAAAGACTAGTTTAGTAAGATATGGGAGGAATGTTCATGCTCCCAGTTGAGTATGTCTTGTAATCTTTTGGAAGGAAGAAGTTAGGAACGCGAGGTCACTTTTTTTTAAGCCCCACCTGAGGATATGTTAGAGAGAAAGGAAGGGGGGGAGGGGCAAAGAGAGAGAGAGAGAGAGAGAGAGAAAGACATTGAGGTAAAAAAGACATTGACTGGTTGCCTCATATCCTCCCTGACCACGAATCAAACCTGAAACCTAAGTGTGTGCCCTGACTGGAATTGAACCCAAAACCTTTTGGTGCACGGGACTACAGTCCAACCAACTGAGCCACGTGGCCAGGGCACAAGGTCACATTTTGACAGAAATTGGTAAAGGAGATCATGCGAGATCTGTCTTTACTCTCTCAATACTTAAACATTTAGAAACAGTCTTTTCTACCTACTGATGTAGTGATTCTCAAACTTTCCTGCTAACATACCAAGTACTGATTAAAAACACAAGTTACTGGGCCCCACCTCCAGAGATTCTGATTTAGTAGGTATGGATGTTACCCAAGCGCTTAACAGTGATTATGCTGCAATTGTTGCAGGGGCCATAGGCCCACACTCCATGCTCAGCTGCTTCTTTTTTGTACATAATTAAAAAGGGTACATATTAATCAAAAGTTGCTGTATTTATTTTTGTATCTCCAATGTCCAGAACACTGACACTTTGAAAGTATTTAATAAATGCCTGTTAAGTAAGTATATACTCAGCTCCAGGACTTGCTAGATCTAAGGGGAATCATGACTAGTAACTATTATGTGAATCAAACTACATTAAGTACTGTAATTATAATAACTGAGGTAGAAGCACAGAAAAGAGAGCAAGTATGACTGAGAATGAGAAAGACTTCACAAAGGAGAAGGGTTTTAGAGACTTTCCTTTCTTAACCATGACCAGAGATTGCTATCTTCAGGTTAACAAAAGGTTGAGGGAACAATAAAAAGAATGCCTTTGATTTGATACAGAAATAAAAGTTTTAAGTACTTGAGGACACCATGACCTGAAAATTTAGTAATAAGATTATTTTCTAGAACAGGGCTCAGCAAATTTTTCCACAAGGATTAGAGAGTAAATATTTTAGGGTTTGTGGGCCAGATTGAACTCTAACATAGTAGCATAAAAACAGACATAAACCATAATCAATTAATGGGTATGGGTGCATTCTAATACACCTTAATAAAAAGAAGTAACAGGCCAGATTTGACCAATGGACCATAGTTTGCTGACCCCCTACTCTAGAATGAAGCTCGTGAAAATTAACAAGATTGCATAGTTGGTTAGGAAAATGGGCGTGAGAGTCAAGAAGATTTAGGTTCCATCCCAGTTCTGTTTCATATTAGCTTTGTCATCTGAATCAGGCATTTGCTTTATTTACAAAATGTGGAAGCAAATAACTGTTGTCACTCCCTAGAGTTATGGCAAGATTCAAACAATTTAATTTACATAAGGCTTTAATCAAAAATCTAGCACACAGTAAGGGCCCAATAAAGTGTCAGCTAAAAATAAAACTAGTTAAACATGGTAGTTGAGCATAGGTGTTTTTATCCATCAGTTCTTAAGGCCTCATTAACATGATAGTAAAGAACCAAAACAGCATGAGTTCTTTTTCTTTTTTAAAGATTTTTATTTATTTTCAGGGAGAGGGGAAGGGAGTGGGGAGAAAAGGAGAGAAACATCAATGGTTGCCTTTCATATGCACAGAAGCAACCTGCAACCCAGGCATGTGCCCCAAATGGGAATTGAACTGGAGTGATGCTCAACCAACTGAGCCACACTGGTCAGAGCAGCATGAATTCTTAAGAATCAAAAAGAGTGAGAGAGATAGCAGAGAAGAGATGTCCACAAATTTTAGAAGAAGGAATAAGGATGTGTAATGACTAATTTAGTAGAATAAAAGAAGAAGCCGTGCACTTGCAATGATAAAAGCAAGTCTACCTTTGCAGTGGAAACAGAAAACTTCAGGAATTGGTGGCACCAGATACCTTCAAATAGTTTTGGTGACTTGGTGGGGCTTTAAATGGGAGGATTTGTTGACAGAAGGTAGGTGGGACTTGATCCATTCTGGGAGAGATTGTGCCAGGTTGGTTCTGGACATGAACATGCCAGGCAGAGCTGAGGGTGAATGGTAAAGTATCACACTGAAAGCAATGAAATTGTATTAGTTTCCTGTGGCTGTTATAAAAAATCACAGGTTTAGTGGTTTAAAAGAATACGAATTTATTATCTTACAGTTCTGGAGGTCCGAAGTCCAAAATGGGTCTCACCATTTTGGACTGCGTAGCAGCAAGGTTGAGTTCCATTCTGGAGGCTCTGAGGGAGAATCTGTTTTGTCTTTTCCAGCTTCTAGAGGTTGCTGCATTTCTTGGCTCATGAGCCACTTCCATTTTCAAAGCCAGCAATGGCCAGTCAAGCCTTTTACACATCGCATCATTCTGACACTGACTCTTCTGCCTTCCTCTTTGATATTTAAATTAACTATTTATACAAGATAATCTCTCCATATTAAGGTCAGCTGATTGTCAATCTTAATTCCATCTGCAGCCTTACTTCTCTGCCATGTAACATAACATAATCACAGGGCCTAAGATTAGAATGTGCACATCTTTAAGAGACAATCACTCTGCCTACCACAGAAATTAAGTCAAAATCTCTATATTAAAATGTGAGATGTCCAGGTCTATTCTTCTGCTTGGTTTCTAAATGCTAGTAACCAGGTTCATACTCCTCTCTCAGAAAGGAGGAAACTGGAGAATTTCTCTTCAAGAAAATCTCAAAACTTTCATCACCCTAATGCAGTGGTTATTAACTAGGAATAATTCTGCCCACAGGGCCCATTTAGCACGTCTGGGAAAATTCTTGATTGTAAACAGCTGGGGAAGGGGAAAGTAGGGAAGAAGCGTGCTACTGGCTGCTAGTGCAAGAGGCCAAGGATGCTTACTAAACACCTCAAAATGCCCAGGACAACACATCTTCCTCTCTCCTTGCCCCCCTCCCAAATGATTATTCAGTTCAAAATGTCAATAGTGCCAAAGATGAGAAACCCTAGTAAAATATTAAGCCCACTAGTCAACATCACATTAATATAAATAAATAAATCCCACCTAGGCACACCGAGTTTCAAATCAGCATTTTCATGCTTCATTCTAAGATACAGAGAGTTTCTAACATGAAAGAGAAAAAAATAAACCATTGGATAAAAAGAATTTACAGAAAATGGTCAATATAGGGAGCATAATAATAAGCTCCACTTATATTACTATCTTCAAAGAAAGAAGATACTAATTACATGAAACAAGAACAGAAGGCTATTTAAAAGTGGAACTTTGGGGAGAAATATGGCAGCTCCAACCTTAACTGGGAGGTTGTATTCCTTGTGATGCTACAGAACCTCCCTCCCATCATCGTGGGAGCCCTGTCCTTCCAAGCACCCCTTTGATTAAGGCACAGGCACGATCTATGAACACATCAACCATGGGAAGCTGAGGGAACACATCAAACACAAGTATGGGAACTTGTTACTCAGAGGCTCCCATCAAGGCCAGAAGGACCAGGTCCAGCCAGCAGCTATTTACTCAGAGCCAGGCCATCTCAGAGCCTGAGATGAGGCTCTCGTCACCCTCCATGGACCACTTTTAGCTATCGTTATGAAATGACTTCACCAGACAGACTCTAACTTCTGTTACGTTTGAAGTATATTTAGTCAGAGTCATCAGCAAATAAATGAAAATTGTCCATGAAAAAAAATAAAGTAGAAATTTTGGAGGATAGAAAGATACTGGAAAGTAGAAATATGATAGTCATATGACAGAAATAAAGTCAACAGGAGTTGGAAAGTAGAGTTGAGGAAATCTACCACAATGTAAAATTAATAAACTACTAAAGGATGTGCTACAAAAGAAGGGTAAATTAAGAAATATGAAAACATCAAATCCACTTCTCTTCGCTTAAAATTTAACATAGCCACCAGTGTCAAGACCACAGCACTATGTAGGGTCATTGCACACCAGTAAGTTACAAAGACTCTGTGAGTTTTAGCTCAAAATCACATTGCCCATGACTGAGGAAGGAATGAGAAAGACAGGGAGAAATGGAGGGAGGGAGTTGCTAAAGGAGGAGAGAGAGACGCTAGGAAGGAGTGATTGGTTTTGGTATCAGATTTAAGTTTAAAAGATCTTTTTATAATGCA